ATCTAATGTAACTTGTGTTTCTAATAGGCGGCTTCTTATGACTTACATAATGAGACACTACATTATAGTAATGTTCCCAGGGTGTATCTATTTTTGGCAAAATAGATGGCTTCTGGAAAAATAGTTTCTTAGAAGTTAATTTTAACTTGGATTTATAATTATTTTTTCTGTTTTTTATTATGGAGTTAATACTACTAACGAGAAGGGGAGCAATTTTTTCCTTTGTATAAAACAGATTGACTCTCTTTTGAGCAGCTTTAGCGATTGTAGAGTAAATAGTTTTATTATTTAATAAATTCATGGAATGAATAACAAAAGAACGTATGTCTGATCTTATTCCCCCACGCGTAACCCAAGATGGAGAGAGGAACCCTGTTTTTCCATGAATTATAGAGTCTTTCAATCCCCCATAAGATGTTCCTATTGGAGGAATACCACATGCCATTGCTTCAATAGGAACATATCCAAAATTTTCGTCTAAAGAATGAGAAGGATGTAAAAGAAAATCCATAGCATTATAAAAGATTGATAGCTCTTTATCAGAAAGAGTTTCTGGGAAATAAAAACAATTTTCTTTTAAATTTAAAGTGTTTATTAGATTTTGAATATTTTTTGGATAAGAATCCGTAACATAAGGAAGTATAGGATAATCACCCCAAAATTTACCATTAATTATTCCTATTATCGTTTTCGGATATAATATATTTTTAAGATCTGCTAGGGTTCTTAAAAATACGTGTAAGTTTTTTTGAGGTAAAATCCGTCCCACATATCCCATGATATAGTCAACTTTTTTAATTGGTAATTGTTTTCTAGAGTGTATCTTATTTTCTGATTTAAAAGTATTTACATCCACTGGAAGAGGTAGTTTGATAATCCTTGGAAGTTTTCCTACAATCATTTCTTTTAAAATAGAAATATCTGAATCGCAGTTTACAATCACGGCATCAGAGGTTTCAACATTTTTTAGATGTTCTGAAAGAAATTTTTGATCTAATACTAATCCTCCATTCATAATATATATGATTGGATAATCTGGATGTTTTTTAAATTTCCAGCCCTGAGCTGAATTCATATTTATAACTGCGTCAAATTTTAACAGATACCAATCTTTATTACTCGGGTCTATATGTACAATTTCAAATTCTTTTACAAGTATACTTAAGAAAAAATCAAGCGTTCTATTTACACTTAACCAATTTTGTTTTTCAAATCCTGCTAATCCTATACGTTTTTTCATCATTCATATTAAGCTATAATTAATTTGATTTTTGTTGAAAGTTAAAAATTTCCCCTAAAATGAAAATGCAACTTCTATTTAAACTTCAACTCAGTATATCCCCCTATTTTGTAATTACCAGAGTTAGAATAGGATTTGAAGCAACCTTTAGCAAGATTTAAAGACAATATACGATCTGTAATATAGGTATAAATATTGACTCGCAAATTTAATTATTTCTAAATTACGAAAAAAATGGGTTCAGAAGTAAGAGCTGGGGTTGGAGAATTGGTAAAGAAAGAATTACTCTCCTCGAGATAGCTCTCTCCTCTAAAAAACTTTTTATGAGGAAGGATTTAACTCATTTTTCTACTCACTAATTTTTAGGAGAATACCTTTGAATAAAATATCATTTTTAACAATTTGTTATAATCGTCTAGCTCATTTTAAAACTCAAATGGCATATTTTGAAAATATTTATTTGAAAAATGAACGACTACCTTTTGAACATATAGTCATTATTTCGCATAATGAATTTGAACAATTGAAACTTATACATAATATAAATAGATGGAAATTTTTTCCTTATAAATTCACTACTCCCTTGAACAAATCCCAACTCCTTAATTGGGCAGAAAAAAAAACTACAGGTTCTTTCTTAGTTCCATTGGATGTTGATTTACTGCCCTTATTTAACATTATTGATTTTTTTATGGGTAATATGCCTTTTTATAATCAAATTGTATCTGGCTATAGAATGCTAATTGGTAAAAAGGTGACTGAGAAATTAGTTCAAACCCCTTCAAATTATTTTATAAGGGGGGATGTAAAAAATTTGAAGAAACTTAATTTATCTATTGCTCCCGAAAACTCTAAAGCAAGTTTAAAAAAGCAACTTTTAAATAATGAATTATTTGGTGTATGTCCCATCCTTTCAAAAAGATCCTTTAATACTATAAAGGGATATGATGAAAATTATATTGGTTGGGGAGCAGAAGATCAGGATTTAATTGAACGTATTTCCTTAGAACAGGGCCCTTTAGTAAAGAACTTCAGTTATTTATGGGGACATATGTACCATGCTTCCGTGCCAGATTCATGGAATAATCCTGAGTTAACAAAAAAAAATAGAGAATATTATTATAAAAAAAGAAAATCTATTTTAGGTATTTAACATATTCATTGTAGCGTCTACGAGTAAATTGCTCAATTCCTGACCTTCTTTGGCTTCCAAATCCTGTGTCTATCGATTCTGTTAGAGAACCTTCTCGCTTTCTTTTTATATATAAAATGTTTGATATGTTTATAAAACATTTTTTAAGGCTCATTTTTATTACAAATTCTGTGTCCATACCAAATGATGCAAATTGAGAAAAACCTCCTATATCTTTATAGGATTTTCTTGAAAATAACATTGAAGGATAAAGAGCGACATGACCATAACTACGTAGGAGAGTCTCAGATGGATTAGCAGGGAAAACTCCGATTGAAGAAAGTTTTGAATCTTCCGAAAGGTTTATTATATTTGATCCTACAGCATCACATTTCTTTTTTAGCATATAAAAATACAGGGTTTCTAGCCTTAAAGGGTGAGAAACATCATCAGAATCCTGAATCAAGATATATGGAGTACTTATGTTTTGAATAATTTCATTAACCATATAAAATGGGCTACATGTTTTTTTAAAATTTATAATTTCAATTGGTATTTGTGATTTATATTTTAAAACAAAATCTTTTAGACCATCTATACATAGAATAATTTTTGCGGGGCGTATACTTTGCCCATTTAAACTTTTAAGAGCGTCCTCTAAATATGGATGATTGGGTTTATGTGGAATGATACAAACAACATCCTGGAGATTTTTACTTTCCTTCTCTGGAAAAAATTTTTTAAAATAAGGACTTATATTATGATAAGGAATATTGCTTAAATAATTGTGATATAAAGATTTTCCACTTGTTATATCCCTTGAAATTTTTTTAATATTTTTATGAACTCCCTCTTCAAAATCTTCCCAAGCTATAGGCATTAAAATTATTCCTTTCTTTTAATTTCTCAAAAACTAAATCTACCTATCAGTTATTTAAATAACTATTATAATTATAAACTAACCTTCCTACTACGAGATTTATTCTTTGAAGAGTATTGCCCACATTTTAATATAGGAATTGATGCCATACATAGAATTAAACCCGTTACTCCAGGACTATAATTTCCTATCCTACCGTTTTTACACCTTGTATGTTTGTATCTTCGAGGTCGCTGGGTCTTAAAATGGTTTAAGATCCAAGGTTTTTAGACAAATCCACCGGAATTTTGACGGATTTTTGATTAAATCGCTCTCCTCTTATGTTTTGGTATTCTCCCTCGTTTTCTTCTAAATTTTCAAAATGATTGACTCCCCATAAAAATCCTACACTAATAGGAAGCATGATTGCCCAAAGCCCATAAGGACCAAAACTAGACGTTAAATAGACAAGACCAAATGAAGTAACAACGTACATAACAGATCTCGAAATGGCGTAAATAAAACTTGTATAGGTAAACCTTTTAAAAACTGGAAACTTAACAATTAAAACCGCAACAGCTGGAACTCCTGTCAACGTTAAAAGAACACTGAAAAATTGAATTAAAAGGATCGAAAAAGAATTAGAAGCTGAACTCAGAAAAAAGGGCGCTAAAAGCAGAAAACCCAAAAAGAGAATTCCTTTAAATTTAAGTATTTTAAGAGGAAAGATTTTTGCACTTAAAAAGACAGTCAGAAGAATGCCTAAAAATTCTAAAGTGGAGACCATAAAGTTTTGACTAATAACTTGTTCCGCTGCAAATCCAATATCTTTCAATAAAGATCCACAATAAACATAACTAAAATATAAACACATTGGGGGGCCCGAAGAGATCATTAAAAAGGCTAAAGAAGTTTTCCAAGGCACTTTTTCTTTCCACAAAACGTTTGTCTTATTTAAAAGCTCTGCTGGCTTTCCAAGTCCTTCTTTTCGAGACTCTTTAATTGCAGAGAGAATCCGCTTTTTCTTATCAACAAAATCTGGGGTTTCCCTTAACCGCGTCCGTGCTAAAGTTCCTATAATCGCAATAATAGCTCCACCCAAAAAAGCCGCCCGCCAATTAAAGGCTAAAGATGTCACAAGAGTTGCCATACCCAATGCCGCCATAGTGCCAAGCCTTGCAGAGCAACCTATTAAGGCCACAAGAGGATATCTTTCAGGGGGCTTTGTTATCTCTGTTACATATATTTCCGCCCCAATAATCTCTCCCATAGACGAAAGTCCCTGTAATACTCGGCAAATAGTTACAACCCATGCAGCAGTAATTCCAATTTGGGAATACGTCGGTAAATTTGCCATAATAATACAGGAAGTAGCCATCATCATTGTGGTGATAATCACTGTTGTTTTTCGGCCAATATGATCCCCCATCCAACCAAAAACAAGGGCGCCAAAAGGGCGTAAAATATAAGTCGAACAAAATGCAAAAGCGCTAATTAAGGCTGCTGTATGAGAATCCGTTTTTGGGAAAAAAAGTTCGTTTAATAAAACGGCCATATGAACATAAAGCATTAAGTCAAAATATTCTAGGAATGTTCCTATTTGTAAAAGTCCAACCGCTTCTTTTTGATCTTTCCTCAATGTAGAAAACAAAATCTTTTCCCATACAATTTTGATCCTTAATGTACTTGATAGGATTTCATTATAAAAATCAACTAATAATTATTGAGATGATGAACAAAAGAGGATTCTCTATGGAAATAGATAATCTTTATTCTGTGGGGTTGATGGTTTCTTGTTTAATCTTAGGGAGATTTTTAAGGTGAGTTTCATGGAGGTGTTCAACGTCTTCCTTGGAGAGCCCCGTAATTTCGGATACTAGCTCAACTGGTTGGCCTTTCTCAATCATCTTCTTGGCTAGATGGATTTTTTCTGCTTCCTTGCCTTTTTCAATCCCCTTAGCTTCACCCTCTTTCAGACCTGCCTCCTTGCCTTGATTATATTTCTTATTAAGAGCGTTGGTCTCAACACGCAGCCATTTCAGTCTATTTTCGTAAGCTTCTCGCTCTTCTTCCCTCATGTTAATGTGTTCAAGAACTTCAAGGGCTTTTTTCAATTCGGGATTATCGAGCTCTTTGGGGAGATTCTCTGGATTCAGGAGATCATACTTGGTCAAAAACGAGGACCAAATATCTAGAGAAGTTTTGATTTTTTTGACCAGCTCATTGAGTTTTTCAGGAAGCTGGTTTTCAAACTTATTCAGCTCAATGGTGTGAAGTTCGGTATCTTTAAAATAGACAAAACCATCTTCTATTTCTGTCAGACGAAAGGTATTGTGGTATTTCTTGTTTTCGAGGATGGAGGTAAAGTTGAGGATGTGGATACCAATCGCCTTTTCTAGCTTTCCATAATCCTGTCCTTGTTTTAATTGTTCTGTATAAACCTTACCCCAATAATAGAGAGCCCTTTTATCATAATCTGACTCGTCAGTAACTTGAATTTCAATGTTAAAGAGTTTGCCGTTACAGCCTCGTGCTTTAATATCCAAGATGGAAAGCTTATCTTCTGCAAAGTGCTTGGGATTATAAGGATTGAGAAGGGTAATATCTTCTACCTGGTCCTCTTCAGAAATAATAGAATTGAGAAGAGAAATGGTTAGGTCTTTGTTTTGCTCGACCCCAAAAATTCTCTTAAAGGCAAGATCAATACGTGGATTCACGGGATAGGTCATGAGGCGCCTTTGTTATGAACTCATAAAAACCTTTGCTTCTTTGTACCCTAAAGAAGTTGTAAACACCAATCTTTCCTACTGCAAGAAGTGTTTAAGAATGAATCTTTAGGTTTGTGTCACAGACACATCCAACGTTTTTCGAGGCCCTTTTTGTGACATAAAATTCTTTTGGCTCAAGTTAAAGCTTACGAAGAGTGTAAATCCCGACACAGCCAATTTCTGAAGGAGGCCCAAACAATTTAAACTCTTTCGCAAAGAGTCCGGCCTTTGCTGCGGCGGCAACAAACTGAGTTTGACTCACCTTAAAGGTTGTTCGAGAAAGACTGAGACTTGAGTCTTCAGAAGGTGAATTTGTCTGAAGCGTTTCTAACTCTTCTAAAAGCGCTTGTGCCTTTTTCTTAGCTGGGGCCAGGTTATCTTTTTGAATGAGACTGTTCAGAAGGGGCGCTTCTCTCAGTACACAGTCAATTTGGGCTTTGTTTTTATAGGAAGGATGTTCTCTTCCCCCATAAATATCATCCAGAAGAGTGTGGACTTCTTCTTGAGAAAGAGCTTCAAAATTATACTTCAAAGCATAGGCTATAATGTGACTGTGCCATAAGATTAAATTGACCTCTCGCTCTTCATTGTTAATGAAGTCCGGGATAAACTCATCGCCAACAATGTAGTATCCTCTCTTTTTCATCAGGTTAAAAACACTTCTAAAAGTCGCTTCTAAAGAAACATCCCGAGTTCTGTGATGATGGAATCCTTGGCTGTAAGCGAGGTCTATATAGGGATGATGCTTATAGGTATTGAGGTCACAGCGAATCCATTGGATCGGTAAATCATGATACGCTTTTTTTGCGTAGTCTATAAATCCCTGGTCTGTCTCCAAGCCATAAAGTTTTGCATTGGGCACTCTTTGATAGACTAAAGAGGTGATGCGTCCTGGACCACACCCAATGTCGAGGATTTCAGGATGTTGAACCCTTGTGACCTTTGGAGGGATGCTTTCTGCAATATAGAGGTCCGCGTCTCTAAAGTAAGGATGCTGTTTTGACAAAAGGGTATTGTAAAGTTGTGGGGTAATGATTTTCGAATGAGGCGTTCCTTGTTGTACTGTCTCTGATACAGTTTCTCGAGACCAATAATGACGACGGCGCGCTTGCATGACCCATTTCTCTCCATTTTCCCTTGTTTTAATCGTAACTTTTTAGTCAACTTTAGGTCAACAATTCAAAATGTTGTCCCCCTTCATCTCAGTTTTTTCTTCGTTCCGTTTTTAAGCCCCTTAAGCATCCAATTTACGGGCTTTCTCTGAAACTCTATCAATCTCATACAAAATCGTTTTGTCCGCATAGTTGGGCAAGTCATCCAGTAAGTGCAAAACGGTCTTCAACCCCCGGACCACATCCTGAGGATAAGGTCCTAAACCATCACAAAATGTGTCCATCAACACATTGGCTGCTACCAAGTGCTTTAAAACCAACGTTTCTAAAAGGGCCGCTGTTTTTAGACGGGTATGAACTGTGTTTTTACGATAATCACGCCGCAGAAGGTCTTCCTCTAGATCTCGCAAAGCTTTTTCCACATCAATACGCGCCTCGATAATCGCGAGAGGGGGCGCACTTTCTTCTAGAGGGTCGGCCTCTTCCTGCGGCATATGTTGTGTGTAATGCGTTAGTAATTGGGTTTTGGTGACAGTAAATCCCAAACCCTTTAAATCTTTCGCCACCTCCCCGCACGGGCGCCCCGTTTGAAGGCGCTTTTCTACCTCCAAACGCTGGGACGCCTCCAACAAACAGATCTTACACTTTACCATGCTTCCGAGCTTTCCGATGTCGCTTCATCCGCTCAATCGACGCGCGACGATTATGCCCGTCTTCCAAATGATGCTTCGCGTGATGCCGCTCAATTTCTATTCTAAACTCGATCACAGACCGCGACAACGTCGAATGGTTCACAACTTTGAATCCTAAGTCTGACTGATGGGAGCTAATATAATCTTTGATGGAATAAGGCGTGATGTAGGTTTTTTCCCACCAATGTGTTGCTTTCTCATTCGCCAACATGATTTTACGAATCACCCATTCCGCACGACTCGTTGATTCCTTCGTATACTGGTGTTGGCTTTTTTTACCCGATAACGTCAGTTTTTTAGCAAAAGACAAGCTCCCAAGGCGGATAATTTCCTCTTCCTGGAAGCCGCTTTTCTTAACGGCCGCCTCTAACACTTTCTGGTCCTCCTCTGAAAACGTGCCCCCCTTACGATAGTTGGTCCACAACTTTTGAAGCAACATATCATGAGTCAACCCATTCTCTTTCCGATACTTCAAATACCCCTCAGGGAGCTTTACTTTTATATTCGATCGCTTAATTGTCATTTCATCACTCCGACGATTTCTTTAACACACCACCACCGTAGAAGATAAAATATAGTTAGTCAATGACTTTTTTATAGTTAATTGAAATTGGGGTCCTTAATCCTAAAATCATCGTAAGATTGCGCCGTTTGCACATCGAGCGCATCATGTCCCAGGACCTTTGAATAGTACAACGGTCGCGACATGGTTTCGGCTCCATGCAGCTGAAAACAGATTTCTGCATAAATGGAGCGCAAATCTTTCGGCTTCAAAGAGTCTTCATACAAGTCCGTATAGTGTCTCTTAACCCGCCGATTCAGTTCCTTAGAACATCGATTATGAAAAGTTGGCGGACTCCCAATGAGTTCAGGTTTCAATAAACGAATGTCTTTAAGACGACGGACCAATACACGGCTATCGTGTAAAACAGGAATCGTATAAGATCCCGTATTTTTACGATTCTTCATTTTAAGCTGTCCCTCAAAAATAAGGGTATGGGCAGTTTCAATTTTAAAGGTGGCGCTTGTGCCAATTTCCGCCATCCGTCGTCCCGTTAAAGCCCCCAAACCGATGATGACATCTAAATAAGAGCGGTTATTTAAAAGACGGATCGATTTTTCAATATGACCATCCACATCTTGAATAAAACGCAAATGACTCATGTCATGAACCACCTGCTCTTTATATTCCGTATTCAACTGGTCAATTTCTTCCCGGGTCAAATTCAACCCCGCAAGGACGATTCTTAAAACATCCCGCTTTGGCAGCGTTGGATGCTCGTAAAAAGGCGAGCGGATTTGATTGCGATACGTGGTAAACACCCGCTTTAAACTCGACGGGGTGTTATAAACAGAGGTCAGATACTCCCGTTCCTCCAGAACACGCGCCGATAAAATGGACTTCGTGGAGCATTTTTTAATCTGATCTGCAAAAAGTTCATGTCTTGACAACCCCATTAAATACTCCTTTGAATTTCATTATATGAATTTCATAAATTATAACTTGCACTCTTTGAAAAAACAAGTTATGTTTTGTGATGTAGATATTTTCATAATTTGAACGCAAAGGAGAACTTTCATGTTGCGTAAACCCCCAACTCTTCGGATTGGCAATGTCCCGGTTCGGGATAAAGATGGCTATGTCCACGCTACGCTCGTGAGCGTCCTTGGAGATCAGTATCAGTTCGATAAAAAAGATTCTGATGGAGAAATTGATACCATCACCGTTGATCAATGTGTGTTCAATTTTGAGATGGAAGGTTCGTCTGGCGAAACGTTCCGCATTAAACACGGATGCTCGACCCGTCTCATTGGTGAAAAGTTCGTGCTTCAAGGAAAAGGGCGAGGCTCTAAAAAAGAGGTCAAGGATTACAACAAACTCACAAAAACCTGTCTTCAACTCCAGCTCATCAGCGAAGAAGAACTTCAACATCTCGATCAGAAGATTCTAGAGCGGGTGATGAATGCCCTTGCAGACATAAGAGACATGCCGGTGCGGTTTAAACCCACCCAGGATAAAAAAACAAACATGTTTGGTGTTCACCTCAAAACTCTCGAGCCCCTTGAGAAAAAAACGACCACAGGAAAGTGAAATTTAAAAAGGAGGGTCGGCTTTAATCCGTGCGCGTGACCCTCCTCAACCCCGAAAAGGAGAAACCTTAAAATGTCATACGCATCAAAAAATCGCAACAATATTCCCGAACTAGAGAACGATCCATCTCCAGATCGTGTACGCAACCGCTTCGCCGAAGATTTCGAACGCGTCTTGAACAAACTCAAAGAGCAAAGTCTCAGTGGAGATACACAAGCCTCTAAAGTGTTTTTGGAATTCATGAATGGAAAATACGAACCGTTGGATGTGGAAATCTCTGCGTCTCTCAATTTAAACGATGAACAGGCCAAAAAAATTGCTGACCTCGTCCAAAAACAGAGCTAACCTTGAAGCGATCGTTCAGCAGGCTCAAAAGCAAGTCGCCGAGCGCTTCTTGTATTACGAGCCCCACCCCAAACAAAAAGTGTTTCACAAAGCGGGGACAGAAGCTAAAGAACGCCTTTTCTTAGCAGGCAACAGAACAGGAAAAACTTTTTGTGGCGTCTTGGAAGTCTCTATGCATCTCACAGGTCATTATCCGTCCTGGTGGCAAGGCTATCGCTATAACGGACCGATCGATGCCTGGGCCGCAGGGGTGACTAATGCGGAAACCTACCAAGTCTTAGAAAAAGCCTACATCGGCGATGTGAGCACACCTGGAGCAATCGCTCCTCATTTAATCCTCGGACAAAACCGCTTGAAACACCTCTACAAGATTCAGCACATCAGGGGTGGAGTGTCTCAACTGCGCTTCAAGTCTTACGAGCAGGGGAGAAAAACCTTTCAAGGGGCCAAGATTCATATCGTCCATCTGGATGAAGAACCCCCACGGGATATCTACGTGGAAGCTTTGATGCGCACGATGTCAACTCAAGAAGACCATCACGGCATGCTGCTTTTAACGATGACGCCGTTAATGGGACTCACCGATATGGTGCTCCACTTTCAAGAAAGAGCAGAAGAAGAGGAGAAATCTCCTCAGCTCGTTGATGAGGGCGTTGTTCACAACGGAAAGTTCTACATCCAAGCCAGTTGGGCGGATAACCCTCACCTTCAAGAAAAAGA